TATATATATATATATGCATTTCCTCTCCAAATGGCCTTCAAATATATGTCTGTCTGCATGTGTGTGTGTGTATGTGTGTGTGTGGGTTAAATGCCTTTAAAGCTTTCCCAGCGCAGAGCTTTAATGGTACACCTGATGAGGCTAATTTGCTGGCAGTCGAGATACAGTTAAAACAGTAATTAAAAATGCACTAATGTGCATATATGTATATATTTGTATTGTATATTATTATGATATATGTATTACATACATATTTGCATATAGAGTTGGCTCTTTGAACTGAGTTGAACTCTTTCGCATCAAGGCACGCGAGAGCAATTTAATGTTTATTCTCATGGGTCACATTCGTAAACGTTTTACTGGCAGCAGAGCCTTCCATTTAAACACAAAATTAATGTATTCATATTTTATCGGCCGTATATCATTTTATGTGAGTAAATATTCTTGATTATTGTCGGTTTCCTGTTTGCCTCACTCAAGTCAACTTTAGTTTGTCGATAAATATAGTTACCAGAACACACCCAGCTTATGCCAGCTAAACAACCTTTTGATGCAGGGTATCTTCAATGCCATCAGCACGAGTTTTTGTGTTTCATTTTTCAGTTTTTCATCCTGTCGCGGCGGACCGGAAGTAAAATAACAAATGACACTTTGGGGCACAATTTGCGCACGTGTCGCATAGACCAAACACACATACACACACACACACACACTGCGCTGGCTATTTTCAGTTGCATTGTCTTTTGAGCCTAGGCCAACCTTCAAAGCGACAAACTTTTTTGTATGCAATGAACGCAACAAGCAAAAAGAAAGAGGAAAACAATAACAACGAGCACAACAAAAAAGTGAAAAAGCGAAAAAGCAAAACAAAACAAGCTGACGCCATTTTGCCATTAATTCTGGCCACTTTATGACCAGTCCAAAAACAAACTGAACACAAACCGTCTACACCTAGCAATTGGCAATAAAAAGGGGTATTCCGATTTTGTAGAACGTACTGTGAAACATGCCATAAAGATATGTATATGCGAGCAATTGAAGCTAGATGCGAGCTTATCAGGTATAATAAATGTTGACAGTTTTTGGCTATAAAGTAAAGTTTCTATACGAAATTCCAATCGAAAATTTGAAACTCAAAAACTCTGATATTTTATACGACTTGGCTCTTAACTAAGTTAAAATTTTTAAGCAGAGTTAAAGGTATTTATAAACTAACGATGAGCTAATATATGTTCAGCGTATATTATATTACAGACGAGTACTGATAATTCGAAATGGCTATGGGATCAGTTATTTTTTTGCTTACACAGAAACTCAAATTATCGAGAAGAAATTTTTTCAAAGGTATATTTAATATATAGATTTATCCCTAATCAAAAGCTAACTGAAAATGATAGATTCATATAGTTTCATATATGCGTATGAGTGTTGCTAAGCGATTCTCGTATGTTACTTTCGCTCTGATTACTGCGCAGAAACAACGTTCAATAAATCTATATAAATAGTTTCATAGATATGAGTTCTCACAGACAATTCTCTTCATAGTCATTTCCTCTGATTCCTGCCAATGAATCTATATATTGTAGTTTCATAGATATGAGTCTTTCCAGACAGTTTTCTTCTTCTGCATGTCATTTCCTTTGTTTCCTCATTTCATTCGAAACTCCTAAGAGAGTGAGGGAGAGAGAGAGAGAGAGAGAGAGTGATTGCTAGGCAAGTGTATTTGCGCTTCGTGTTATGTTTCTCTGTTGGCTTCCGTTGTGCTGTTTGCAGAATTCATTTGGACTGTGTGGCCTTTTGTGTTTTTGGCTTTTTCTTAGAGAGGTGGGATTCATTAGAGACTCTCAACTAGATACAGTAGTACCACACTACACTTAAAGAGAATGAGCTAGAGGGAGTAGGCAACTAGATTATACCCTGTCACTCAGACTATTCAAGTCTTTGGATTAACTGTAATTGAGAGTGTAAAGATTTCTGTAATCTGAGCTGTAGAGTTTAATATCCAGTCTAACAGATTCCAAGGCAATCTAAAAGGTTATTTATGATTAGATCTTCTTACTTTCGAGGGACATCTAAGTTAATAGCTCGCTGTTGTATATACAAAAATCTTTTTACTTACACATACAAACAGACATACGTATAGAGAGACATATAGATAGACGTCTACGTCTACTGATTTCTCAGGAATAACTACATATATACAGACATGCGGACAAACAGGCAAACATGCATACAGACATACATATATACAGACATATTTTCAAGAAATAGAATCCAAATTTGCTGACTATTTCTTGATCCTGATGAGCTTATTTTTTAAGTGTTTAAATGAAGCTCACCCACCCTTCTCTCTCACAGTGTCGAGATACTTAATCCATAGAGTATTCAATATTTATATTATATTTTAATATAGATAGCTACTGTCTGCCACATTTGACTGGAGAATCCAGACTGAAGCCTCTTGACCTATGGTCTGTGGAATTTATTATACATACGTCTGATTCGCCATACCTAAGTCATTTTAAAGCGTACATAATTTTATCCGGTTCTATTTTACATAAATTATTTATCAGATTTATTTATACTTTATTTATTTATTATTTGATTATATTTAGAATATTTATGAATATATATAAGTAACCTTAGCTTTTATAAATTTGATCATAAAATTTATTATAGAGCTCATTATTCAAAAGACAACTGCTAGACTATAGTTTAATAAAACATTGTGAGAAAGAACTGTGTAAAGCGATGAATAAATAGAAATAAATGTTATATATGAGGGTGCATTAACTTGTGTGGCTTAAGTCTATGTCTGGGATGAAGATGAGATGATAGTACAAATTACGTAATTGTGCATCATTTAGGTAATGGAAGCACACGGTCTGGCACATATACAAGTTAAGTTCTCATCTTACACTAAACATTTTCAATAATCTTTTGCCTCATCTCTATTTTGCAGTTTCTA